GGATTTGATCCGTTCAAAACCTGTTTATATCTCCAGTCCGCAATCCAAGGCGGAGCCGAGCGCTATCAGTTGTCTCCAGTGCCCAAAGGCGCAATGAGTGATTGATGTCCAGCCTACAGTTAAGGGCTGCAGATTGGATTAGTCGTCTCTCAACTAGAATGTGTGCCAGTGGGATCCAGGTTTCTCGCCTCCAGGCCGTGGTCGGCGTGTTACACGAAGTCGGTAGAGCTACGCGGATCCCAGCCATACTAGCCTGGTCGATATCTCTGCACTGCTTTCCGACGAAGTTTCGGAAAACATCTCTGTATGCTTCCCCAGTAAGACCTAGCCACCAAGTCTTAGAAGCGTGCACTACACTTGGGGGGCTAGTATGCGAATGATGGTTGTTAGTAAGTCCGGCCTCGGGTCTTGAATGTGCCTGGTTAGTCTTCGAAAGTGGTGTACAAGTCGCGGTCCAAGTTCACTCCGAGCCATCGAGTCTCATCCGACGCTTGGTTTTCCCGTTCATCGACCCTTACTGGTGGCAGCTCACATCTTCTAGTCCTTGGACCGAGGAAGTATTCCATTCGGCTTCACCAGGGTCAGAATATACGGCGCTCTTAGAAGCTGTCGATAACCTGGATTTTATAATACTGTTTTGAATCGTTATTCTTTTTGGATTCAGCATTACATCATTAGGGTCTATTTCACATGAGATACCCCCTCTTTTCTCCTGCAACATTAGCTAATACCGACGCTGGGAAAACCAGCTGATGAGAGATCTATTACTATAAACCAACAGAAGCCCTAGCCAGCACCGCATGGACCTTTTGCTAGATGGCTGTAGCAGATTCTTGGGAAGTTGAGCCAATCTAAAATATTGCGACGTCATCAGAATATCCAAATCTCTATTTGCTCACTTCTAAAATCTCGGGTATGTAGAGAAGGAATAGAATTGAGAATAGCAGCAACACTTGTGGGAGTCTGTATTATAGTAAGACCAGACTTGTGAAACCGTCTTCGTGTCGGATGCAGGCGGAATGTTCGTGAGGAAAGTATTTTATCCATTCGACAGCTAGTTCTGGTCACCCCATTTTCCTCATTCTCATCAACAACCTTCCGTGGGGGACTGTATCAAAGGCTCCTTGAACTCCATGAGTGACTAGGACTGTTTTTATCTCCTATTCATGGCATGTTTCACTTCATGAATTACGCATGAGACAACTTCGTTAGCATATCTACTAGGGAGCGCCCGGAAAAGCTGACATAGAACCGCTTTTTTGATAGAGCGGTACACGCCATACGTTTTGCCACTAGCCTCTCGAGATATTTGCCAAGGGAGGATTTTAGTGAGATGGGTCGCTAGCCTTTGCCTTTTCTGAGTTCGCGGCCGGGCTTTGGGAGCAAAACGGCTGCCGCTAACTTGAACACTTTTGAGAAATGATTCAATCTATGCGAGCCTTCGTAGAGTGTTCTTACTGTGCAACTGATTGCGGTCTATTCTGCCCCGGATGGCCGCACGGTAATTGCATATACTTTAGGGGACTTTTTCTGGTAAGCTGTCGCGACACACTTGGATTCTGTTAATCAAGTAGACTCTGTGAGGATGTTTTAGGAAAGAAGTTCTTGTGACTCCCATCAAGTTGTTTCATCTTTATATATATACACCCAATTTCCCCAGTTCTATTACGGCCCTTTATCCTCAGCATAGATTACTTAATATATTAATACTTTGACAATACTGGCTCCATGCCAGGAACTGATAACTTTGCATTTCTTCCGTCAGTTCCTGAATCTAGTTAGGCCTCCGGTCAATTCAGTCTCCTTTCCCGGCCTTCTGCCGGCCCCCATAAAAAACCCAGGTGAATAACACCTAAAAAAATCATCAGAATAAATAATAATAAACTCAGTTACATGAAACTCAAACAGAAGGAAATCCTGGTCGACAGCTTCTTTATCCGAGACGCTAGAAGCCCGTCGTAGATTGCCTTCACCTGGCTTGGGCTGCTCGATGTTGACGTCATTTTCTCTAGTAAGCCAGCTAAGAAGCAAGTATCGCAGTGAGCACACTCGCCTGCCTGGATCCTCCACCAAAACACCTGGAGTTTTGAATGGTTTTGCCGTATTTTGAGGTCGAGGATTTGCCCAACGAGCCATTTGGCAAATTTCAGCATCTATTACAGCCTCGGAAGACTTGCGACGCCAGTACTGGAGCTTCGCTATTTTGACCGTTTGGCGAAATACCTTTCTGCTATTATCGTCCCAAACTATTTTGTACTAAAGTTTGGCCGCGCGGCAATATTCCGTCCAGCAAGGCGGTTTACTTCCCTTCTTCGTGCTCCCATGTCTTCTTGTGGGACTAGTTACGTCGCTGAATATCTGAGCCTGGGCGTTGGCAAGGTTATCTACATCGATTGTGGATGTCATCGGCCGATTCTCGATTCTATTGCCTCACCTTGCTAAAATTCTGGTGAAAACTTCAAGAGCGCTTTCATTCACCCATAACGATTATCTAATCTGAACGGTAGCTCTGCATTTGGAATTTGGGCGAGAGAAGTACACAGCTAGAGTCTGGTGGTCCAATGATATATCGAGCTCTGTTCATAAATCAGCCAGGACTCTGGTATTGGACCCGACTAGATCAAGGATTTTTGCTCGACCATAAGTTAGTGCACCTGGCCGTAAGGATAGGTCCGCGCCGTACTCAAGCATCCAATCTTCAAGCAACTGGTCATCACCGTGGAGTCGAGTGATCATTGGCTGCTAGTCGGGCGTATGGCGTTGAAATCTCCGCTGATGACCGCATGCTCACTCGGTTTCTATGCTAGCAGAAGTAGAAGACCAGCTCTATAGGCTTGGCAAATCGATATAGATATAGCTCCCTCAACCAAAACAGAAATAAAGTCAGAAGATGTGTCACAAATTGGCTTTAGGAGGCTCTCTATCCCTTCGCGAGTATAGTTAATGAGCGTGGTCTAGCTAGATTGAGGGCGCAATAGAGAGGCAAGTGTTTATTAAATCGGATATGCAACTTGGTGAGCCAGATAGCATCTTTCAGATTAGCCTAGGGTTCCTGGATAATATCTGTCGCAGAGTCTCTTTAGCCTAAATTAGCGCAAAGGAATGAGATCTTTGGTGCCGTGGTCTGAAACTCGGTGTGTTTATGGCCCCTTACAGATATTAAGGAACATCTGAAAGGTTATTTTCAGCAATCGCTTCTGCGACTTTCTGCTTAGCTTCTTGTTAATGGTTTGAAGCAGTCCTTGCCTTGTGACCTGCTCACGGATTACCGAAAGCTGGTCTTTTGAGCGTTGCATTGTCTTACCGCCAACCAGTGTCGGCCTTACTATGCAGATAGACTAGGTTGCAGCATGTGGCCCGTAAAAATCTATGCACCTTGGAATGACCTGCTTGAAATCAGATGCCTTGTGCTCAATTAAACCATAGCGGGAGCAAATCTTAGTTAGCTGATGTCCCAGCATCGGTTGCATTGAGCAATTTTTGGCTTGCGCTGGAGTTCGTGAAGGCGTCTGCTCTCTTCGAATATTCGTTCGCCGAGCTTTGGTTTTACGGTAGTAAATTTTGACACCCAGTCAGTTGATGACCTAGCCATGCTGATCGCAAAAGTAAAAGCCGATTTTAGTCTGACTCCCGTTTTGAGGGTCGTTTTTCCAATCGCCAGTTTTAAGTCACCGGTATGGCCCTTTCAGAGTGTAGAGCCTATCGAGTATATTTGATGCTAGCACCGAGATCCAATTGGAGAAGGCTTCAAGTTTCATTTCTGAGCTATACAAGATAGTTCTTTCAGAAAGGAGTGCACCTCTAACTCCTTCTCCTTCAGCTTGTATTATGAACCTAGAATTCACGGCAATAACTTGCTTTATTGCAGAATTTGCTAGGCGTATCTTGCTTGCAAAGCTTATTTTTATGAAGTTTACAGGCATATGTCTCTGTTGTTGGTCGGGTCTGAGCCACAGGAATATACGCTCATCGGGTCGGTCAAGCTTTGTTGCTGGCGCTTTGGAGTTCAACGTAAGAGCAGGCCCCGTCGGCTTAGTCTTTCGACCAGTAGTTGGTGTTGTTGAATTTGTCGGCTCAGGCTTTTCCGTAACACCTCATTACAAGATTTATCAGCGATGTTGTGGCAAGCAAAGTATTGCCCTGGTTGGGCTGGGGGATGTTGTTATAGCCGACTTTTTCTCTGTTGTCGATCTTTTACTTTCCCTCGCAAGAATCTGCACTGGACGCGCGATGCTTGTTGGGGCTATCGGCGAGGCTCTGTAGCTCATTTACGCAGGAGGTTTGTGATTTCCCCTTATTTGGACTGCAATTGAAGGGTAGTAGAGCGCTGGGCTGTTTTGCCGCGCATGATATCATCATTTTTGCGCTGGAGGGCGGCTATGGTTGCTTCAACTTATCGTCGAAACCCTCTCTCAAAGTAGATACCGATATGTTGATGAGCCCGTTAACATTAAGCTCTGCCTCTGCAAAGCGCTGTTTGAAGACTTTCCCTTCATTTGTGAGTAAGTTGGTCATCGTAACGTTGTATGAATCAGTTATAATTTGGGATGAAATTGAAAGCTCTTCTCATAGATTGGCTCTGTGATTTTTTGTATATTTAGCGGCAGGTGTTGAGGTGGCTCGCTGAGAACCATTTCGACGTCTTGACGCGTCGAGGTTTGGGTGAGAAGGAGGACCGTGAGCCAGCCTCAACGGAGGTTTGGGGCGGCATATCTTGATTCTAAAAACTAAATTTTGATTTAATGGTGAATCAATTTATAAAAGAATTCGATGTTTAATTATGCATTATATGTATGTTTTTGGATCTTTGGTGGTCCATCAGTTCTTGCCTCACGAGGCACTCACTTTGCCAAGGCCAGTCGGAACACCAGGCTTTGGAGACTCAAAGTTGCTGGGTCCCTTCAGTACTGCGAGGCTTCATCAGCTTCGATTAAGGTAGTTGTTGTCACTGCCGACCTCAGAATTATTTGTAAAATTTCCAGTCAATTTAAATTACCAACATGTCGTCCAATCAGACTCTAAAACCAGACAAGGATTTTTCCAAAGAGGTGGATAAACAGCTTCCGGAGGCTGAGAAACTTGCCAAAGTATACAATCTAGCTTTCAGGATTAGTTCAAGTATTAACTGGTATATCAGTCAAATATTCTAGGTGCTATTGAAAAACTCACAGTGTTAGAAAAACAGACAAGACAGGTAAATATTAAAGCCAAACTTGTCACTCTTAGCTAATCATTTACAGGCTTCAGATCTTGCATCAACAACGAAGATTCTCGTCGCAATAGTAAATTTATCAAAAGAGTCAGGAGACTGGGAATTATTGAACGAGCAAATCCTACTGCTGTCTAAAAAACATGGCCAACTCAAACAAGCCATCACCAAAATGGTGCAGGCCGTAATGGGATTTCTTGACTCTGCGCCAAATCTAACGATCAAGTTAGCTACAATTGAAACTCTCCGAACCGTTACTGAGGGGAAAATATTTGTGGAAGTAGAGCGTGCTCGAGTGACCAAGATACTTTCAGACATTAAAAAGAAGCAAGGTGATTTGAAAGCTGCTTCAGAGATCTTATGCGAGCTTCAAGTTGAGACTTTTGGGTCTATGGAAAGAAGGGAAAAAACAGAATTCATTCTCGCTCAAGTCGCTCTATGCATCGAAAACGAAGATTGGGTTCAGGCTGGTATCCTTAGCCGGAAGATCAGCACCAAGTACCTTTCTAGGAAACAAAAAAAGACTGAAGAACAACTGGAAAAAGAGACTATAGACCTAGAAAAGAAGCGCGCTATGGGGGAGGATACTACTGACTTGGGGAATGATGATGTTACAGATCTAAAACTTCAATATTACGAGCAGCAAATCATTCTAGCTAAAAATGATGACAGGTATTTGGATGCTTGTAAACACTATAGACAGGTTCTTGACACCGAGGCTGTGGAAGAGGATCCCCAAAAGCTCCATTCAGTAAATTTTCTCCATCAAAACGTTTCATTTCTAACAATTATAGGTTCTCCAACGAATCATCTATTACGTCATCCTTGCACCATATAATAATGAGCAGTCTGATCTGCTCCATCGGATTTACAATGATGCTAGAAACTCCCAGATTCCCCTCGACGCGCAGCTCTTAAAGCTCTTTACCGTACACGAACTTATGCGATGGCCCGAGGTGTCCAGCGTATTTGGACCCCACCTCTGTAGCACCGATGTTTTTGAGTCCCAAGAGAATCAATCTGCGGATAAGAAGTCCCATCAAAGATGGAAAGATTTACGGAAACGTGTTATCGAACATAATGTTGGAGTCATTGCCAAGTACTATACCCGCATACAAGTTCCTCGTTTGACTCAACTGCTCGACCTGGGAGAGGACGAAACCGAGAAATATATCAGTGACTTGGTGACGGCCAAGACTGTATACGCCAAAATTGACCGTCCGGCACGGATTGTCAACTTTGCCAAGCCTCGTGATGCAGATGATGTTTTAAACGAGTGGAGTAGTAATATGAAAAGTTTACTAGGCCTGCTGGAGAGGATAGATCATTTGATTACAAAGGAAGAGATGATGGCACGCATTCAGCAACCTAAAAATTCTAACATTAGTCAAAGCACAAGAGCTTGTTAGGATTGAAAAGAGTATTAATTAATCTTTGAGGAGTTACTGTATGATATTATTTGTTTAACATTATGTGATTAGCGTGAACCTCGCACGATTTTCCTCGAATGAAATATACCTGTTTCCCAAATTTTTCATTATGTCATCACGGCAATCTTAATTTTTCCACGCCTTTCTCGCTACTCCGACCTATTAAACAATCCCTAATGAATGATGTCAATACCCCCTTTATCAGCCTGCTGTTCGGTACGATATGACCACCCTGGTGATAAACCAGCTTCTTCCCTTTAGATACACATCTCTCTGCTAGAGCTATTGATCGAAACTCATCAATCACCGAATCGAGGGTTCCGATTATATGTAAGGTTGGGGCTTGGATCCTAGGCTTGAAAAATGCGCGGTATGATGGGTGCATGGGTAGGAAGCCAGAAAATATGACAGCGAATTTTAGGCCGTTTGGACAGAGTGTTGAGAGGTCTCTCCAATCTTCGGGAAAGTGCATGGCAGATGGATTCTTCTTCCTTATGTCAGCAAAGGCTTGTTCACGCCCAGGCTCTAGTAGAGAGGCGACAAAGGCAGCGGCGGCGGCCCCCTGCGAGAAGCCCATGATAGCATCTATACCACCATTCTCACGGATAACTCTTGCGATACTTGCTAAGCCTTGCTCGAGTCCGGCAAATAAGTCAGAGTCCATATCACGCGTCCACCAGCCCCAGAGTTCGTTTTCATCGTCGGCGTCGAGACGCTTGGCGCTGAACCCGGGAATATTAGTTGTGGTTAATCGAAAGGGGCCGGTAGGATAGATTAATTGAACGCCTCCGGGGTATCCGGGGAAACTGCCGTTGTGAACATTCATCTCGGCCGGGAAGTATCGGTGAAGAAGTTTCTCGATACCGCGTGTTTTGGCATGGAGAAGTTTCCCAGATTGAGTGTAGCCTAATATCTGGTCAGCATCTTAGCCAGGCTACAGCGTACTTCGGCCTCTTGGAGACTGAAGGCTTCATACCGTGCAGCATTAAAATCTTGAGTTTGCGCGGCGGCGCATTTGTGTTATCGACTGAAAAAGACGAGTCTTTGCCATCGGTGAGAGCAACCATGATGAGGATAGGCTGGCTTGATCAGGGGAATGATTATAAGAGGACATGCAATTGAGAGGAGGAATCAGTGTATTGTGTAAGATATAGAATGGGACATTTTGTGGGCATCTGGGACCGGCATTGCATACTTTATCCTACGCTGAGGAAGCGTACGCGATAGAACGATGACCCCCACCGAAGGCTCGATGTGGCTATCCTTTGATCGCGCACGGGCTCATTCGTGCGGGCGGGAGACGAAGGGCAAGATTCTAAAATGAATATGTCAAACATCTAATTGCGATGAGATTTGGTAGCTTAGCTAGTGGTTCGCGGGGGGGGGGGGAGATCCCAGGCGCAATCTTTCAAACAGCAAGTCGTCTGTGCGCTCGACTACAACTGCGCATGCAGTTAACCATGTAGTAGCCGGGTAGACAGCAGCAGGAGAAGCAAGGTCTTTGCTGGACTGAAGCATCTGCGCCCTTCCGAGACGAAGGAGATGTGAAGACGGAGACAGGTCGGAGGGCTAATTAGCCACATGACATCACCGTTACTGTAATTTACGGGCCAATTCTCTTGCATTTGCCAATGAACTCCTAGCGCGCCATGGAGAGTGGGCAAAGCCGAGAAAGACGCGGAAGAACTGTGCCTTCGTTGACGGGGCCACGTGAACTGATCGGCCAACGAGTGCAGACACTGTCGGTTTGACTCGAAGCATCAGCAGCCAAATGGAGGACGGCAGAAGACAGGAAGCCTCCTGTACAATCGGAGAGCGAAGTGTCAGCAGCAACGGACAGGTGCCACGAAAGCACCGTTCAGACGCCGCACAAGTCCTGGCCCACCCTAACTGACGGTCGCTGCAACACGCGCATCCGCGGGGAGCAGGACCTTTGCGCCGCTAGGGTGCAGGGTCGCCGTTGTTGCGGACAGGTTAATGTGCGGCCAGCTAGTGATCGAGGGTAAACTCCCTCAAGCGTGGAGTCGAAGCATCAGCAATAACTTCACTCTAAGCATGCTCGGATCGTCGAATGGTTGCAGCAGAAGACTTGTGTTAAGCTTGCAGGACGGACCTGTCGTTACTGCTTGCCGATTTACCTTTCACGCACTTTGGTACATTTCTTGCCACTTCTTCTGAATCAGTGTCTGACCAGGAGCCACCTAGCGTCTAGCTCTGGCCTTAGAATAGAAAGCCTCAAGTTCACGTCAAGACCTTTTGTTGCAGAGAAGCATCTTAGGCGTTACAGCAGGTAGGGGAGTAGAATTACCAGCAATACTAAGTAAGTGCCGAAGCGCAGGCAGACCGCAGCTCTCTTCTTCTATCATTTTACCCATCTAGATGATCTGTAAGCGTGGTTAGTGCGATGCCAGGTAGCTAATCCCAAGCGTACACGGCTAAGAAGCCCTCTTCAGCAGCCATGTTGTCTCGATGCTGTTCTAGTTTCAAAAGGTCACTGCATGGAGCCAGGACATCTCCGACCTTTTGATTTCTTGGTCTTACTCAATCGCAAACCGAGACTCCGACCTCCGCTCCTTCTAAACTTTGATTCAAGTCGTTCACAGTCCATGGCTGATTGACATATCAGTGCGACTGAGCCAAACAATCGATGGAAAGCTTAGCTTGTTTTTCGCTTCAAGGTCTATCCGAAGGTTTGGACCGCTTTTGCATTCGTGGCTTCCCTGGCTAGCCATTTCAGGATAAGTTGATCAGATTGATATGGTCAGCTCTCTAATACCAATGCTTTGGGAGAATGAAACGTTTGAAAGATATCCTCCGAACTCTCGATCACGCGGATTAGGGAAATCTATAGCTTTCAAGGCAAGTGCAAGTTGAAGGCTACGAAAGACTTTCCGGGTAGCCTTATCGCCCTTCTCGGGAAAAACTAGCGTAGAAAATTTGATGCCATGGCAGGTGTTGCACGTCGTATTAGAATCAAACGTTCGGGCCTTCCGTCTATCACGACACTGCGATAGCCAATATTCAGCCATAATACGACCTTTGCGCATGGAGTATTCCAATAGGATGCAAAGCCTATGTAATCCCTCTTCTATTAACTTATCCGGTGATGGTCTGGTTAGACTGCTAGTGATCTAAACTTTGGCGAAGAATGTGAATTAGCTAGATCTATTGATGCTGATGAAGACGCTTGGTTGGAAGTTTCCATGGAAAGAAACGGTCAATAACTGGTTCATCAATCAGCTTTTTCCAGGACCCGATGAAGCTTCGGGACGCTACATGCAGTAGTGGGTATTCCTTGGCTACAGGGAGACGCCAGATCGTTCACTGCCCAATGGACACTTTTTCTTTTGCGGCAGAAGCAGCGTCGTTGAAGCTTCTTCCTTGCTCCTTGATCCTTGTCGAAGGACCCTGCAACCTTGCCGGAGAGGCTAGACAGGTCGGGCACTTGTATCATAATATTCTAAGCGCATTTGTCAATAACAGACACGGCTGCGCTTCAACCGATCTTTTGGCGGCCCTGGTTTATCAACACTCCGATCCGGGCATCTCTGTCGCAGGAAATAACTGTAATCAAGCTCATGTCCGGTGTAGTGTGGTTAGTGCCTATGTGCGAATAGATTGTCCTTGTCCAAAGGCGAAATTAGCTTTCCATGAGAACATCAAATCAAGAATATCATTCGCGATATGAGCGAGATATACTTTTTATGCACATCTACGAGGCACTAAGTAGCTTCCTGGAAGTAATTTCGGATGGCATAGCTGGACAGATGTTGAGTTATCCTTCAAAAGAACTGTGTACTGGGAACTAAGCTTAGTAGAAGATGATAATCTTTATCCAACAGAGATATCAATACCTTTTTCCAATGGGGTTTGAATATCCATCTTGGCCTAGTCGGGGCTACATTTGCCCCTTCCTCGTGCATTCAATGGCGTCAATACTTCGTTCCGCGCAAAAAGGAATTCTGTTACCAGGAGTTTGGGAAGACTGGGTGACAAGCACGTGCATGGGCGGCCTCGTTAGTCAATGAACATTCCTAGATCCCGGGCCGACCCTGCCGACATCAATTCTATTCTTAGTTCAAGTCGATGCTGCACTAGTCCATATTAGGTCAATATAGCTGTTACGGCCCGAAACAATGCTCGTAGACTCTATAGCCTCTTGCATGGTCATCATTACAACCTTTTGATAATCATATTCTGAGCAACTCGTACTGTGGAAGATACAAGCTTCGCAGCACATTCATTGAATCATAATTAATACCGCTTCACGTGCTACAGGCGCAATGCACTCCGAGTATGAAGAACTCAAAACAATTATGACATCTCGCCCATGATCGGCGCCTTCTAACTATTTACCCTAATTCGACTGCTTCAAGGATTGAAAAATACGTCATGTTTAAGATGACGATAATTGGGACATGTCGTCAATGGCCTGCAGATCTAATAAACTTTAAATAGTCGACGGCCCGGCTTTTCGGAATCGCCCGGCCCATCTGGGTAAGGCAGCGAATCAAATTGAGTAGACAGAGGGTGGGGAGGCGACATGGTACTCATTGTCGCAGTTTTGAGCAGCATATCTTGCGAGTCTTCATGATCAAGAGGGAAGAAACCAAAAATTTCTAGCTCATCATATGCTTGTAAATAACCTACATCAGTGTTACTAGTGGCTACGCTGCCAGATGCGTTTCCTCTCACCGCCACTCTACCTCCACTCCTACATGAGGTTACAAGGTGTCTCAGGAACCAAGTGTTTATCCCTGTGTTGCGCTTTAATAATCTTCATGACGATGAGCCCTGAAGCAGATCATAGTCAGTATTCACAGGCATGTACGGTGATTCTACTCAGGACACAAACTTTTGATTCTCTATTGCCGCATCCACATCATTCCAGATATGAAAAGATACTTGAATAAAGATAGGGATTAATTCAGATTAACAGACTCGATTCACAAATCACGATGGCTAAGCTGGGCTAAATGGATAATAAATTAAGGTTCCACGGAACAATTAGGGCTTGGAATCTCGACTCAACCAATAGATTAATTTCACGACATAATTTAGATATTAGAAAGCTAAGTGAGAGATAAGAGCATCGTTTCTATCATTGTTTCCGATACTTGGATTCTTTGCTGGTCTGATATGGCTATGGTGCACGATCTTGCTCGAGATCTGAGTTAAATCAGGGTAGATGGAAACTATATTTTGCCTGAGTAACAGACAATCTGAACGATATCAACCCATCAACACTTTTCTTGATACCTGGGTAAACTTTACGTCAGCTTGGGTTGACAATCAAAGTTGTCAGAGTTTGTCAAGCTCTCTGATTTTCGTACCATTCGACAATGACCGTGACACATTGGTTAACATTTTAGCAGCTTGAGTGAAGGCTGAGACTCTGCCGCGCAAAGTATGAGACGACACACTGAGGAAAGCCTATAGAACTGGCTCGTCTTGAATTGCGGTACAAGCGAAGACTAGCCAGCTCGACTGTGCATATCAAGAGCCCGCGCCGACATCGCTGGATTCAACATTAATTCCACTCTTACGCCTCAATCGGGACAAATTAATTAATTCAATATGCACTCGACCAACACCCGCATCAAAACCACGATTCTTTTGATGAGAGGACCATCATCTTTTCTCTGTGCATTAGTTGTATATTTTAAGAGCACATGCTACTAGCATTACATTATGCTACAAGGAGTGAAACTTAAGGGATATAGCGATTTAATCACTGTCGACTTGAACCTCAGGGAATAAGGCCGGAACACTTTTATTTCCTCCCCCATCTTCACAGCAAACAAATAGCAATTCGCAGGTATTTGCCCAGCTGTCCAGATGCTGAATAGACTCCTGGAGGGTCTCATGTGTCCCAAATCCGTAGGCCGGAAAGGATATAATAATACAAGAAATTGTAGCCTAGGCACATTAAAACCCAAGGGAGCACCATACAGTCGGTGTTTTTCCTTAACCTGAGGGGTAACTAGGAGGATTATGCATATGAAACAAAAGAGAAGCAGTGCTTGACAGACCAAAAGCGTAGTCCCAAGGGTGATATTCTTCCTAA